CCACCAAAGTCAGATGGGTTTTCCTCCCCGTCTTTGCATTTTGCCATTGGAAAGCAAAAAGCTCTTGACTTTCCCAACTCAAAGGGAGACAGAAAAAGGCAGCTTTCAAATCTAATCCTGTGAAACATATTAAACTCTCAGTTAGGGGAGTTAGCAAAGTGTAAGGATTCCCTACAACTGCTTGTATATCTTCTACTCTATTCTTTATAGCTCTGAGGTCTTGGACTAACTGGCATAGCCTTCCATTTGCCTGCTTGACTGGCAAAACTGGAGCATTCCATTTAGATTCACGTTCTTTTCACAAGCAAAATTTCACTAATTGTTCTACAAAGGGTGAGAATCCCTTACAACTGTCTATTTGCAAAGGACATTGCTTTGGCCCCACCAACCCCATTCCAGGTTTCACTGGAATTCTCACGGGTTCTGCTCTCTTGGATCATGGAGGCACCTCTCCAGCCCATCCTGTTGGAACCACTGCATCCCCAAGTGATGGTGGCAGATGGATTACTTCTGCTTTTGGAGACTCTCAGGCAAAACCAGAAACTTCCACAGAATTAGGCTCTGCAATAATAACCTATCTTGGACCATTTTTAAATTGGATTGTGGCATTTCATTTTGCCAAGAGATCTCTCCCAAGCAGAGGCTTTGGGGAATTGGGGAAATACAAAAACTGGGGAGCCAACCACTGTTTTCCCAATTTAAAAGCCACAGCATTAAAAATGGCCCAGTTTCCCAATTCCCTGGCACACCAGACAATTGTTCTAGAATTGTCCCTTGAGTTTCATTTTCCCGGATTTAACACAGAGGAACAAGTTCCCACAGCCACAAACAATTGTGCTTAGCTTGGCTGGAACCAGATGTTCTGATGGGGAAGAATCCTCTGGTGCCCCCTCAGTCGTCTTCAGTGATGCCACGAGAGGGTTGGGAGGGTTCTGAAGTTTCAGTTGCGGACAATCCCATTTCCAGTGTCCATCTTTCTTACAGGATGCACAGGGACTGAGCCCAAGTCTCCTGGGGGGGATGTTTGAAGCAGGCTGCCCACGCTCTCGTCCTCTTCCTCTCCCCACGGGCACCATTTCCTCAGGGATTTCTTCCAGAACTGCAACTCCAACCTCCAACAATGTCCCCAAATTAGACTGATCTTGTCCCTCAGCTTGATTTTCCTTCCCGGGCTCACACCAAGGGCTCTGAGGGCGCTGCATTCACACCACAATCTTTCTGCCATTTCACAGGTTCTGCAAAGTGAAAAACACATCACCAGACATAACCTCCTTCCACTTCTGTTCCCCTTCTAAAACAGCATCAACTGGAACAATGGATTCTAATTCAGTGTTCCAGAACAGCCACCCACTGATTCCAACACTCCATTAAATTCTCCCTGGGAGCTGTTCCTCCGGGGGGGCCACCAATCTTCATCCAATATTGCAAAATGCAACAAAGTGGGGACTTCTTCACAATTCCCCCTTCACATTGCCCACTTCCCAGCTCTAAACAGTAGACCCCAAATGTTACAATACAGAAACAAATACAAGTACAGAACAATAGTGATCGATCAAACAAAGCCAGAGACCAAATTCCAGAGTACCAAAGAACCCACCCAAAGCGCTGGAAGATCCACAGGTCTCAGGTGAGCAGGATTCCCAAAATACCAAAGAACCCCCAGTGCGCTGAAAGATCCACACGTTTGACATGGGCAGGATTCCCAAAAAGAATGCCTTGTTATCCAGTGGGATCTCACCTGTGTCCCAGACTGGGCTGGGGATCTGTGCTCTTCTGCAGCAAAGTCCTGGGGCTGGCGTGAAGATCCAGAGATCCCTCGGATCCGCGGGAGATCAGGCAGAGGGTCCTGTCTGGGGGCCAGAAATGATACTGAAAAGCAGCAGAAACAAACTTCTTCACCCCAATTTGGAGATGTTAAAAAGAGTATTCTTCTTTATTCAGCATGCTGGGTGTTCAGAGGAGAGCTCCTCTAATCCACCGTGCCAAAGGTGTTACGACCCGCCCCAGGAAAAGAGGGGGGAGGGGGTAACCCAGGTTTTATCAAAAATTCCTTTGGGGTGGATTAAAGCGAAACGACACTAAATAATCGGTGTATGAAAACATATATTGATAAGATTTATTTTAACAATTTTAAATCAATAGGTAAGTTAACATTTTTGGGTGCTGTCATAACTTTTCTGGGGAGGAGAAAAATGCATAGGGGAGAGAAAGGCAGGGTAAGAGTAAGGGGGAGCAAGAAAAAAAAAGAAGATGAGATAATCACCGCCCACTGGATCCAGCGATGTCTTGATCCGCAGGTGGTGGGGGGAGAAGGAAGAGCAAAAACCCCCGCCAAAAACCCCAAAGTCACCAGTCAAAATCCATATCCTTTGCCCCTCCCCCAGGGCGGGGAGTTGTTTTCATAGGTTGGTGTCCCCCTTTTTGGCGCGGAGTTAGGGCGTGGTAAACTCAGCTCTTCCCGCCTTTTCAGGGCTTGACATCTTCTGCACCGGAGGAGGGGGATGGGCCCAGTTGCCCATCAGAAAGTCAAAAGCCTGCAGAAGTCTCTTAAGGATGCATAAATCATTAACTGTTTCAGTCTCTGACAAAAGGACAGACAGGGCTTTTTATTACACACACTGTTTACATGTGCATTCAATAGTCTGGCTTACTTAATACATATTCAGTACTTTGCTTTACATAGCCACACCCCTATTGGAAGTCCTTTTCTGGGCCTTCCGGGCCTTCTCTGTCATCCTGACCTCAGTTCTTGAGCAGCACAGCACCATTGTGTTTCACCACCAAAAATAAAGTTTGTTCTTTATTTTATCTGGGTACCCAGAGCTTAGTTTACATCCTGCTTGTTTGGGACATCCCTTATCTAATTCTCTAGGACTTCTCCAGGATTACATTGTTCCTCATTTGGGCACTCCAGGGGACTGTGAGTAGAGTTTCTATTTCTTCTCTCAGGGGTTTGATGGAGACCATGAGGAGCTGGGAACTCATTGCAGGGACAGGAGGGAGCAGTTGGGAAGTACTAGGCAGGTGGGGGAGAGAACTGTTCAGAGAACAGCTGAGATACAGCTCGAGCAAGCTGGAAACTAAACTGTCATTTGGGGTCATCCCAGATCGATTGGATTTCAGAAATTACTCAACACAGGTGCCACCTCGTCCAGCCAAGCCCAGGAGATCAACCTGCTCAGCAGCTGCAAGAGCGGGATGTTCATGTGCCTGCTGCCATCTCCCCAAAGCCATTATCCCACTCCTGCTGACAAGATGGGCAAGATGAGCATCTACCTCACAAGATCTGCTGCCCCAAGAAGAGCGTGTCCCAAAGGATGTCCTCAGCCTTCTCAGAGGGGACGTCAGATCCTCTCCAGGGATGGTCCCAGCCCTTCCCAATCCGCACTGGGCACCAGCTCCAACTCTTCCCTTGAAAACAAACAACAAATTCATGACAAGAGATTACAAACCAGAAGTGGAAACAAGAAAAAAAGGTAAAATGTTAACCTTCTGTCAGGGTTCTGAGGAAGGCCCAAGCCCTCCAGGCCAAAGAAAAACCCCACCTCCTCCAGCTCAGGAAAACCCAGGCCTTCTCCCTGCCCTGCTGCACTGGCCCAAAGAAAGGCTCCTAAGCCAAGGCAGCCCAAGCCTTTCCTGGCCTGCAGCCCAAAGCAGCTGGTGTTCTGCAGCCCCGCCTTTGCTCCCCCCACGGGGTTTGTTTTTGGCAGGCTGGCTGCCCCTGCCCCAGCCCCGCCCAGCAAAGGGGCAGTGGCAGAGGCTGGTGGCAGAGCCGGGCTCCCATTTCACACCCAGCCCAGAGCACCCGCCCGCCCTCCTGCCAAGAAGCAGCTTGGCAGCCGGCTGAAGAATTCCTCAGGTTCCCCAGCAGCAAAGGGGGACCCTTCGGTGCCCAGCCAGGCTGAGCAATGCCCGCGGCCGGGAGCACCCCCGGGTGTGGACTCATCTGCAAACGGCCTGTGGAGCACGGCTTGGAGGAAGGGGCCACAATCCAAGTCCATCATCTTCAGCTCGCCGGCGTCCAGGTCAACTAAGAGCTTGTCATCCCTGACGTCGTCCTCGATGTCTCCAGCAGCAACCCCACCCGGCACAGCTTCTCCAGAGGCCCCTTCTCCTTCCCTGGGGGCCAGACCAGGCTGTCAGCGTTCTGCCGAGGGCCCAGCTGTCTGTGAAGCGGGACCAGCAAAACCAGGTTGGATGGTGGCCACCAGCACTTGGGAGACCGGCTCTGCAGCCCAGCTCCAGCACAAAGAGGGGCGTGTTCCCGTGGGATGACCCCCCCTCAGTGCTACAGGCTGACAAAAAAGTCTGGTTTTCTTGGCTTCTTCTTGCCAAGGGATGTGTGGAGGTGTTACTTGCCAGGGCCCTGGATCAAAGTGAGCACGTGGATCTCTCCCGTCTTCTAGGGCAGGGGAATGCCCTGCACCCAAGGATGGCACAAAAGGTCTTCCAATGCTGGCCTGTCCGAGGGGCGGATGGACAAACACCACCTGATAAGGTCCTGGCAGCCTGGGGGGAAAATGGCCGGTCAGTTGGAGAAGGATCCTGTCCCCTCTGTCCCACTGTCCACGTGCCCAGGCTGTGCTGGCTGTGCTCAGAGCTGTGCCCAAACTTCTCCATCGATTCTCCCTTTGGAGGAGAGCAGGATGGCAGGACACAGGCCACCTCCTCCAGCCACCCATGGGACACAAACAGCTTCAAGAGCGGCGTCCTCGTGAGCCCGCTGCCCTCTCCCAACACCGTTATTGCCCCCGTGCCACAAAGATTGGTATCCACCTGGAGAGACCCGTGCTGGGAACGGGAGCTGGTCCCAGATGGTGTTGGTGCCTTTGCAGAAAGGGTGCTTCCCGCAGACCATCTGGTAGAGCAGGATGCCCAGGGACCAGATGGTCGCCTCCTCGCCGTGGTAGCGTTTGAGGTAGATCCACTCTGGCGGGCTGTAGGACAGTGTTCCTACGGAATACAGACGCAGCTCATCAGGTGGATGCTGCCTGCTCCCAGAGCCTCACCCCAGCATCCCTGGCAATGTGGGGCCTGCCCCAGTGGCACACGCTGTGACCCACTGCCTTCTCGCCGGCCCCTGACTCTTGCTTACAAACTCTGGGTTGGAGAAGAAGCCGCTGGTGTCCAAGAGGGCAGCGGAAGCCCTGGCAAGGCCCAACCATTACATGCAAAGGAAAAAACCCACCCAGAGGTGGGAAAAGCCATGCCTTCCCCCCGCCCCAACAATTCATCATAAGCCAAGGCAAAGAAGGCGAGCGGAGCAGCCCAAGCCCTTCCTCGCCTGCACACCAAGCCAGCTGGTGCACAGTTCTGACCCCCTTCTCTGCTACCCTTGCAGGGGTTTTGGTCAGGCTGGCTCCCCCCTGCCCCAGACCCAGCCCGGGACGGGGTGGCTGGCACAGGCTGTCGGCAAGGCCGGGGCCTGTCTCACAGTAACCCCCCAGCCCCATCCAAAAGCAACTTGGCTGAAGAACTAATCCTGTTCCCCCTCAGCCAAAGGGGCAATCTCCGGTGCCACACCCGGGCATGGCCACGCGATGCCCGGCACCAGGAGCATCCCCCGGCTGTGGGCTCACCTGCAAACTGGGTGTAGGCCGTGTCCTGGAGGAAGGTGCCACATCCAAAGTCAAGGAGCTTGGCCTCGCCGGTGGCCAGGTGGAGGAGGATGTTCTGGGGCTTGATGTCCCGGTGCAGGACGCCGCAGCTGGTGCAGTGCCGCACGGCCTTCAGCACCTGGCGGAACAGCCCCCACGCCATCTCCTCCGGCAGGAACCCCCACGCCGTCAGTAAGCCAGAGAGGTCCTGAGACGGCTCCGGACGCTCCATCACCAACAGGAAACCGTTGGGGAGCTCGAACCACTCCAGCAGCTGGATGACACCAGGGAAGCCATTGCACACCTTGTCCAGCAGCACGATCTCCAGGGGGGCCCGGGTGCCGTCGGGCTGCGGGGGGACCACGGGGTCGTCAGTGGGGCTGATGCCGTGCCTGTCTGCCTGCTACCCCTCGGCCAGCCCTGGATGCTCCCCGTCCCCCACCGAGCCCACGCCCGCTCTCCCTCCAGGTGTCCCGGCGGCTTCCACCCTCCCGGGCCTCGGCTCGTCCCCGCCCGGCCCGCCCCGCTTTCTCCCGCTGGCCCCTGCTCCGCTCCCAGCTCGCCCAGCGCCCGATGCCATCCCCGGGACATCGGCTTGAATGGCCACTGCAAGCCAAAGGGGAAGGGCGGGTTGAGCTCGCCGCCCGTCCCGCTCTCCTCCTCCTGCCCTACCTCCTCCTCCTCCTCCTCCCTCTCCTCCTGCACTCACCGGGGCTCCTGTCCGCTTCAGCCAGGTCCCCGCGAGACGCGGCCGAAGCCGGCCGCTCGCCACAGAGCAGCGAAGCACCGGTAGCAGCTCGTGCAGACGGCTCCTTTGGCCCGTTCCGTGCCGGGCGAGACGTGGCCGTCACGCGTTTCCGGAAGCCCGGGCCTCGGCACGGCCGACCCGACGCCCCTCGAGCGGCCCGGGCCCGGCTTCCCCACCGCAGCGGCAGCGGCCGGCTCGCTGCCAGGCCGCCGGGGCTGGCGAGCGCGGACTCTGGCCGGGGAAGCCGCCGAAGGAGGCGGCAGCGCCGCGGCGTCCCCGCCACCCGCCGGCCCGGCAGTGCCGCCGGGCTCGAGCCTAGGGGTAGCCAAGGGGCCGGCGAGCCCGAGCCCGTCCCACAGCCACCCAACAGAGCGCCCAGCAGCGCACAGCCGGCGCGCCGGGAGCCGGCGAGGCGAACCGCCCAGGCCCCCAGGGCCGGGGAACGGGCGGCCCGCCCGGACAGAAGGGGAACGGCCAGCCCATAGGCCGGCCCGGCAAGGGAGGGGGACCGGGAATGGGACAGGGACACCGGCACAGGGACACCGGGAATGGGACAGGGACACCGGGACAGGGACACCGGCAATGGGACAGGGACAGCGGCACAGGGACACCGGGAATGGGACAGGGACACCGGGACAGGGACACCGGGAATGGGACAGGGACACCGGCACAGGGACAGTGGGACACCGGCACAGGGAGAGGAGGAGGAACAGCTCGAGCAAGGAGAGCACGAACAAGAGTCAGAGCGAGAGCGCGTCGCTACAGTCGCTGCTGCTGCCGCTGCTGCTGCCGAAGCGCAGGGGCCGTTGGTCCCTCGGTCCGTTTGTCCGTTCCCCGTTGGCCCCCGCCAGCCCCGGGGGCAGCCCCGGCCGCTCCGCTCCCAACCAGCCCCGGCCGCAGTCACGGAGCTCCCCTTCCTCCCGCCCCCACGCCAAGACCACGGCCTTTTGGAGCTGCTTCACTTCACTTCAACTTCTTGGCTGCCAAGTTTGCAACTTCCCGCCGCTGCTCCCACCCCAGCCCGCCCGCTCGGCCCGCGCTGCTGTCGCTTCCTCCCAGGCCAGCCGGGCTCTGCACTTGCCCCTCAACTTTGCCAAGGGCTTTGCTCAGGGAGGAGCCCCGGCACGTCCGGCCAGCGCCAGGCAGAGCCAGCCCCGGGGGAGGGCAGAGCAGGAGGATGGGCAGGGGAAATGCAGCCCTTTGGGCTCAGCGCTGCTCCCCGACCACACCAGGGCTGGGCCTGTTTTCCTGCCCGCTTCCAGGGAAAATCGGCGGCTGCAGAGAGGATTAAGCAGAAGAGAATTAGAAGACTCTTCTTGCTGCCCTTTGGATGCCAGTCCCTCCTAATAAATGCAGGCTTAATTTGGAATGGACACGATGTAGCAGCTTTTTCAGCACCCAGTATTTAACAGCTGCCTTTCAGGGGACAGTGGGAAAAGGGGGGGTGAACGGCAGAAAAGGGTGTCTGGGACCTCCAAAGTGAGCGAGGAGGGGGCTGAGACTGTGAAAGCGAGCAGGGCAGGGGGAAGAAACACCCCCAAACCGAGCTGGGGACGGTGGGGATGATGGGAAAGGGGTGGGAGAGGGGAGAAAAGGGGTGTTGGACAGTGGGCAGGGGGACAGAGGGCAGGGGGTTCCCACATGGGTCTCCCCTGTCCCCCATCACTTGAGCCCTGGAGCGGTTCCCTGGGGCTCTGGGAGGGGGCAGGTCCGCACTGGGAATGTCCACTGCTTCTGTAACCCTTTGTGTGCTTGCTCTGGTGACGACTGTCCACAGGTGCCCAACCCCCCTGTCCATCCCTGGGGGGCTGATGGGGGGACTCCCCCACCCAGTAACTGGTGCTGCAGCAGCTGTGGGGCAGAGGGGGGTGGGAAAGGGGGGTCTGGGGTGGCCCCCTGAGCTCCCAACCTGCTGGGGGGGCTGAGGGCTGCTGGGGGGCACCCCCTGACCTGTGTCCCTGCACACCCAGGGCTGTTCCAGGTCCTGGGAAAAGCCGAGTGAACGGCCCCGACCGGGAGAGGTTCCTGCCCGGGTACATCTACAACTGGGAGCAGCTCAGGCACTTCAGCAAAGATTTGGGCACCTGGGGGGGACACCCCGTGTGGGGAGACCCAGGCCAGGCACTGGAACGGCCAAGGGGAGTTCCTGGAGAACAGACAGGATCAGGGGACATGAACTGCTGCCACAACTACGAGAATGTGGCCCCATTTGCCCGGCCTGGGAACCCCCATTTCTGGGGTAATCTCCCCCACATCCCACCAGAAACTCCAAATCCTCCCAAATATTCCCCTGAATCCCCAAATGCCCCCAAATGCCAGTAAAATGGTGGGGCTTTAGATGTCTTTGTTATATGTCTTTCTTTTAAATTCAACAAATCAGCTCTTCCCACTGAATTTCCCAGGTCAGTTTGTGACCCCATGGATGTTTCTCCCACTGTGTTCACCCAGGTGCCTGTGGGGAACCAGGAGGATGTGGAGACCACCAGCCAGCTGTCTTCCCAATGTGGGAAGACATCACTCCTCCAGTGGGTGATGGAGTTGGAGCAGCAGACAAAGCTCTTCCCACAGTCGAGGCACCTTTAGGGCTTCCCTTACTGGTGGGTCTGTTGGTGTGAGGTCAAGGCAGAGCTCTGGCTGAAGCTCTTCCCACACTCCCCACACTTGCAGGGCCTCTCCCCACTGTGGATGTGCCCGTGCCTGACGAGGTGGGAGCTGCGGGTGAAGCTCTTCCCACAGTGGGTGCAGAGGGAGGGCCTCTCCCCTGTGTGTGCATCCGCTCATGCAGGAGGAGATTCCCGCTGGTCTGAAACCTCTTCCCGCATTCCAAGCACTTGTAGGGCCGTTCCCCGGTGTGGGTGCGCTGGTGGCAGATCAGGTGGGAGCTCTTGCTGAAGCTCTTCCAACAGTCCAAGCACTTGAAGGGGTTTTTCCTAGTGTGAGGCTGCTCATGGACATCCAGGTTGGAGCTCTGGCTCAAGCTCTCGTCACCTTCCCGGCACAGGCTGGGTCTTTCCTCCTCAGAGCACCCTGGGCTGGCTTTGGAGACCCTCCTCCTGGGGTACCTTCGTGGCTTTCCCTCCCCGCTGCCTTCCTGCGCCGTGGAGCCCTTCAAAACAGCCTCTCCCACCAGGCTCTGCCAGGGGGATTTGTCCTCCGGGCTCTCCGTCCTCAGCTCGGGGCCTGGGGCAGGAGGGAAGAAGGACAGGGAGGGGATTTGCCTCCGGCCCAGAGGGAAGGCCAAGGACATCCCCCCAACTCCGGCCCCGGCAGGACGGCGGCGGCAGCGGGGTTGTCCTGCAGCCGGGGGCGATGCTCAGCTGGGAGATACAGGACAAGACAGGGTGTTGGCCCTTCAATTTCTTTATGTGTCTGACTGTGCTGTACCATTCCTAGGCAAGAGATGTATTTAGTGAGTTAAATGACATTTGAAAAAGGGAAAATCCAAGTTTGTGGGTGCAGCTGCTCTGTCATTCCTGGGTTTTGGTGTCATTGTGTCACTCAGGGATCCTGAGGAGGGTGAAGCCCTTCTGTGCAGGACATGGAGATGGTCCCTGGCCTGTCCAAATGCATTAAATGCTGCTGCTGAAGGAGCCCCCCCCAGTGATTTTATCTGCATTAAACCATTTATCTGCATTAAGCTAGCTCACGAAAGGAGGAACCAACCTGGAATCGGCCAGTGAAAGAGGAACCAAACAGGACTTAGCCCACGAAACCGCAGCCAATGGACTAATGGCATGACACTGGGGGAGGTGACTGGAAAAGGGTATAAGAAGTGTTGTTTGCTGTTCCCTTTTGCAGACCACGGTAGGAACAAGGGGTTTCCTCCGGTTGCCCGGCTGGCCGTTTTTGCTTATTTGTGGCTTTAATAAATTCGTTATTCCTTGCAACCTAAATTTATCACCTCGTATTCATCTCAATTTGGTGCCGTGACTCGGATAAAGACCCCTGAGTGGTGAAACCACTCTCTGGGGAGGGCACCCCGTCCCAATTAGGACGGTCCTGGAGAGATTTTACTACTCAGAATCTTTATTCCGACCAAATTTATTAGAGGCCAACAAGCAAAAAGAAACTCTGCAGACCCCTATAATCTCTGCATACGGGTCCGGACGACGCTTGGCTCAGAGAGAGGCCGAGGCAGGTAATATTGCTCAGCACGGGGCTGAGCGAGGTCACTTGGCTTCCAGGGAGAGAAGCCAGGTGAAGGACTGACCCAGGAGAGGCAGCTGTGCTTTGGTCGTCCGGTCAGGGGAGGTCCGTCCCAGCACCCCGGGTGGTGCTGCTTAGGACGAAGACTCATCCAGGGAGAGGTGAGTGTTACAGACCCCTTGGCGGTTGGGAGGGGTCCTGGGCTGTGCCTGAGTGAGGCGTCCTCTGAGGACAAAGCGAGTGCGGACCCCCAAGTGGTGCGGTTCTTGTAGCCCACGAGGGAGCAGGCCACGAACGGGGGGAAGTGATTGTGATTTGAGAGCGTGTGTGAGAGCAAGAAGGCACCCCAGAAGATGGGCCAGGGGAAGAGCAAGGCTGCTTCGCCCATGGGAGGCTGTAAAGTAGAGCAGCCAGGTGTCCCTCATGGTGGAGGGAGACTCGTGAGCTTTGATGTCCCCAGGAGAGGGAAAGGCTCAGGAGCAATGCTAGGAACTCGAAGAAGAACCCCCTGGGAGAAAAGGAGCTTACAGTAGGTGGCTACAACTCCCAGGGAGAAAGAAGCTTATGGTGTGGAAAGTATTACAGAAATATGGTTGATAGAAAGAGGACATGAGAGAGATGCTATAGCTCTGGTCCCACGGTAAAAAGAAAGATATTAGAAGGTCACTGTATCTGAGAAAGTGTGTACGTGACAGAAGAATAGGATAAAGCGGATGGGAAAGTAGAGTAAATAGCAAACAAGTAATCATAAGAAGGTGAAAGAAACAGCATTTGTGCAAATATAACTTAGGTAATTAGAAACCAATGATGAGCTTAGCTTTTGTAATATGTATGAGGCTAATTAGTAACCTTTATAAGCACAGAGCCTGCAGCAATAAAGTTGGATAAGTTATTGATCAATTCTGTGGTCTAAAAGTGTCTTTATCCCATCTTCTACAACAAATGGTGACCCCGACTTCTCGACTTAAAGAAAGGGGGAATCACGGTTGGATGGCAAGGTGTCGGAGCCTTAGCAGCGAGGCTGGTCGGAAAAAGTTGGCATAAAGAGCGACTTCGGACCTGGAGCGTTGTACAGACAAGTTCTGCCGTACGTGCTGCCGGACCTTGAAGGGCTGCAACAGCGCTGACGTAGGTATGGATAGGCAAGCAGCATATAGTTTATTTTCTGAATTTTTACAGAAAAAAGGGGTTAAAGATTTAGATTTAAAAAAGGAACTCCCTGGGTTACTTGATTATGGTAATGAGAAAGGGTGTTTTGTTAATCCTCATACTGTGCATTCTTTAGAGGAGTGGTGTAAATTTGGTGATAACATATGGGAGACTGTTTAGATGATGAT